AAAATCTATATATATTCTGAAAGAGGAGACTTTGGAGCATCTTCCTATGATAAAAACTCAATTTCGATTTTTTATGAAAAAATCGAGTTTTTTAAGGGGCGGTTTCCCCTTAAAGAATTGCTCGAAATTGAATAATTCTGGTTTAAATTTATCAGATAATAAAAACGATTATTTCGGATTCCAAAATTTGGCCAATAAGGCTTTCACCAAGTGGATATTCGCCTATTGACAAAATAGCAGTGGACTCTAATCAATTGTTGAAAGTCCGGAGGCGTACTAGCGGGAATAAACAATCGATGTTACTTAGAGCGCATTGGATTAATGAACTTTTCCTCTCTACGACTTCATGCTTGTGAGAGAAAACTCTTTCCAATACATTTCTACATTTTTAAGACAAATTTTGATTTTTCTTAGATAATTTGAATCTATGAATAAATTTTTAAATCGTTGGTTAAGATAATAAAATCCTTTATAAGCATGATATGTATCGAGATATTCGAAAATTTTATGAAAAATTTCATTTGTTAAATCTTCAAGTCGAGAAGATTTATTATTGTTATTATTATTATTATTATTATTATTATACAACCAAAATATGATTCCCAAAGATCTTTTAGATTACGAATGATTGAAATACAATCGTCAACTAATAATTTTTTAACCGAAATTTGTTGAAAACATCTTTTGAATACTGAATGTTTTTCAATATATTCGTGATATTCATCCAAAAGCGATCACACCAATACGACGAAATTCACCTTGAGTTTTAAACAAAATATTTGTTATTCAATCAAACCATAATAATCTCCTACCTGAAAATTGATTTTAACGTATAGAAAAAACAAAACTAGTTGATTCGTATTTTTTGTAGGTGGAATATGAGTTTCAAATTACGGTGGGTGTGGGTGTGGGTGAGTGGGTGTCGATGTGTTTGAATGATTTTCTTGTCACCCACACCCACACCCACACCCACACCATCTTGTTTGATGATATCTTCCAAGTAGCCGAGAAGACCATTTCGAAACTCCTCGTTTTTAACTGATTCTTTCAGCTGCGATGGTGTTAGATCGTGGTCAAGCCACATGAGAATATGCAAATGCAATGACCCACGACCCTGATTCTCAACTGTGCCAAAATAGGCTTTAATTGGACCAAGTACACCCTTTTCCACCATACACTTAAGAATAGACGAAATAAGCACGTTAAAAAAGCGAGCGGTAGCTACAGGATGTGAAGCTATAATTTGAGCACGCTCATAGGTTGATGGTATTTTTTCTGGTAGAATTGTATCAAGATCAAGATCTACGCCGGCAAAATAAAGAGCGACACGACTGTGAATGTCGGCGGGATTGATAGTCATGAAAATGCTGGGAAGACCCTGATTGAATATGAGAGCATGAATCTGAGTGCGAAGCGAAGCACGCGAATAGGCCGAGCCCATAACATTGCCACCCACCGTCCTAATTCGTTTCATGAGCATATTGACTCGTGGATTGGTTATTGAAGAGAACGTTTGTGAGGTTGCACTGATCAACGCTGTCTCAATTTCTTTACTTGTCAGTGTCTGAAGGTCAGTAGCTGTGTCCTGAAAGTAAGGTCGCGAAGCCATAAGAGATGCATTCCAACATGCCTGTCGCCGCTGCATTATGTTAAAAAGAACAAACATGAATGAATGATGCTTCTCAAAGCGTTGATCCTCATATGCAAGTAGGTAACGAATATGTTGGTTCAATGATACTGGACTCGGTCTCGTTGAATCGTACGGTGCACCACATCCATAGGGGAAAAGGGTTGGAAATAGACCAAGAAGAAATTCTGGATTGGCACAGTCATTGACTGGCATATTAGATCTAGGAATTACGTAAACATCTTCATTCTCCATATTGTCTGTGGATATATCTGACGGGTCAATCAATGCTTTGCTTGAACTATTTTTGATTTTATGAAGTAGATGCACACCGATATCCTTCGATGCGATAGTTGTTCCATTAACATCGAGTATGGCACTAATAAACTTAGATAAAAACATTTGTCATCTTGCGACACTCATACTTACCTAGTTGTTATTGGGAAAATATTTGTTGTATGTGCCTCACCCTGAGTGACAGCATCTACTAATGGATCGCCAGTATATCCTGCTCGTTCCACGTCACCATCAGCAGCATTTTCTATTCTCTCTATTATCGTCCAGATAGATTCTGGAACGTCGTCTTCAGGTAATTTAGCGATATTTATTTCGTTAACTAAGAAGACGGAGCATGATAATCTCAAAAGATGGTCATGTTGAACTTACTAGGTATCATGCGGTACATGGAGTTGTGATTTTTTTAACCATACCAGAGCATTGTAAACCTTTCGTTTACTGACACCACAAATCTTACGCAATTCTACACGATTTGGTATGTCTGCACCGACAAAAACAATTTTTAATGTATCACAAAGGTCTTCGACGTCCAATGGTAGACTTGTAACAATATTTGACATGTTATGCATGAATGTGATCACATTGCCTTTGAGTGCAGTCTGAGCAGTGGAATGATGGTGAAACGGAGAGTGTAACTTGATAACACAGCTGTTGTGTCGATACAGAGAGATGCTTTAAGAAAAACAATTGTTCATTGTCACCGTTATGTTTTCTGACGATAGCACACTACTTACAGTTTTTCCTCAGCAATAGTCAGCTGTTGAAGTACTAGCGGCATGTCACCAATCCACATCTTGTTTGCTGCGGAAAATATCGGCACTTGATCTTTAGCGAGTGCCCTGTTGCATTCTTGACATATATTGCCAGTTTTTGCTAATGTGTTGTATCCTTTCTTGTAGAAAACCGCATTTGACAAAGAAAAGAAAATTGAACTTGTATTCTCATCTATGAAAAAAGTCTCATATATTTACAAGCAGAATTACACAAGCAGAATATCTACTTTGCGCGGTTTGTTGAGATTTAGGGATGATATCAATTAAATCTGCATGGCAAGAAAGCTTTACTGAGTGCGGAATATTTTGAAGAGCATATTCTTTCATTGTATTAGCAGATGCCCGAACATTGCAGATAATGCAAATAGATTGTCGTAAAACTGACATAGACATATGGTCTGAAAAGTCTTGCAAACAGCACTCTTTTAATTGCATTGGTATGGCCGCTGGCCAGTGATATTGGTCGATTAGAGCTTGTTTTTTTCTCTCTAATACTCGTCGCTGACCCTGTATACTCATAATCTGAGTTTGTTTCATCATGAGCTGCTTTCTACCAACGGACTCTATCTCTTTTAAATGCTGTTGCCTGCATGTCAAACGTGCAGTTTTTCTCTGTTGACTGTGACTTAACCTATTTGAGATCGATCGTTTTCGCTGCTCGGTGAGACGTGCGTTCCGCTGATCCTCACTTTCACTTGATCTATTTGAGACCGATCGTTTCCGCTGTTCAGTCAGACGTGCGTTTCGCTGATCTTCACTTTCACTTGATCTATTTGAGGCCGCTTGTGATACAGGAATGGTTTCAAAGTATGTTTCAGCCGAATCCTTATGTTTTGTGGTATTAGGAGGTGGTGAAAACTCAAGACTTTGTATGAACGACGCTGGACTGTTTTTTGAAGTTGCTTTTCGTGGACTCTAAAGTAAAACAGAGTTCTGATTATCTATTTGTTCTGTTCAAACAGTTTTATATTTTACTTCTGGTGTCGTACTGACTCTCTCGTTATCCTCCGTTCGATAGCTTCGATATTGCTCTAACAGTGGAACAAAGTGATTTGGATTCCAAATACCGTGATTACCAGGACGTGTCCTTGTTGAAATTTCATCTTCAGTACTAGACCAGAAGATTATTACTCTTCTACTATTTGGAACCAATGTTTCTGCTGATTTGTACATTTGATTCATAATTTTCATTTCAGCCCGGTAATCAATATATGGATACACACTTTGTACTTCGCATTGTAAGACGTTAGCGAGAGCGACAATTTCGTATAGCTCAGAAAAGGTATTGTTATTACATGTTCGTCGCAATGCTTCTTCAAAAGGACCAACATGATTGCTACATTGGTTTACATAGTAAATTTTATTCTTAACAAGCTCGATTACCGTACGAACTAAAATAAAATAGTCACATACATCCTACGCACATTTCTGTATGTATTGAACAAATGTGACAGACCTCTTAATTCAACAGCAGATAGATTGGAATCTGGCAAAAGTGATATGATTGAATTGAATAGACAGTTTCCATCAGCAACACTTTTAATAGGGACAAGGTGTTGAACACTTTTGCTAGCTTGTTGCAGATATTTTTGCGCCATACTGTCTACGATGTGTTTACGTTCATCGAATTCTCGTGGTAAAATTAGCTGCAGTGGTGCCATCAATTTCTCGTCCTAAAATGATTTGAAAAAAGTATGAACTCAACATAAACTAAATTGAATATGTACTGCACAAATTGCAACTACAGTTGTAGAAATTCGTTCTTCATAATTTTCTGCTTTTGATGCTAATGTTAAATGACTCAATAATTGTTCAAATCTGTGAGCTCGTTCACATTTTTCGCAAGAAGATGACTGATTTTGGCATATATACAAACCATTCCAAAAATTTTCGTTTCTATTAAAATCTGTGTTATACATGATAAGTTGATCTGAAACAATATAATCTAAGCAAGATCATGTTGACATGTTATTTCTTAGTATTAAAAAAACTTAAACAAATGAATCATTCAAGAAATTCATTATCTAAAGAAATCGATGACAGATTTCATATTCTGTGTTTAGAGAACAATCTAATTCACATAGATGTTTTACAACATTTCAGAATAAAATAGATATAAACGATTTTCTAGCAAATATCAAATGATCCTTATTCATAATCTGTCAGGAGTGTACTGGCTGTTTCATGACCATTCCCGACAGATTCCACCAACGTTGTTGAGATTCTCCTGTAAAATAATAATTGTAATCATCTTCGATACATCTTAAATTTAGATTGATTTCACGTAAAGCCGCTTGAATCATATTGATACAAAAATAATTAGTGTCTCTTTCCAGTGATAAATTCACCTGGACTATAGCAAGAGAAGAACACGACTCAAATAGATTAAGCCATTTATGATTGATGATATATCCTTCACCGCCCACGAGACCCTTCAACTTAAGTTTTGCCAGCGAAGGCATTGTTTTCACAAGTTGAATGATCCATTCAAATGATACTTCGACTAATATGAGGCAAATATAGCAAAGTTTCGGAAAAGTAAACCAACAAAACGAATTCATATTATGATGGAACAGAGTAACATCAAGAAAGCGAATATTAGATAGACCAGATAGTATGTATGACAACTCATTCCAGCTAATAGATGAACATGAGTGCAAAATAAATTGTTCAATTTTTGTTTGTGCCAGTGGCAACGCTCCAGCTTTTACTTTTTCTTCTGATTCATTCGCATAAATTGCTAGTCGACGCAATGAAAATAATGGTAAAATAGATGCAAGTAAATCGTACAATGAGCCAATGCCAGGTACAGTTAAGACAAGCTGCTCAAGTTTTATATTGGCATTTGAAATTTTTCTAAGAAAACAAATGACCCATTCAGGTAGACCGATAAGTTTCAGCGAGCGAAGTTCCAAGCACTGTTCAATGGTATTCAGGCAGCTATCTTGATGCAATTCGAGCGAGATAACTTGGTAGAGGGAAAGTTTCTCTGGAAGAGTTGTAACATCTGCATCAAGAACAAGTTTTCGTAAACGGAAATGGTGATTTCTATTGAACAACACTTCATCTCCTGGTATAGTTATATGTACCAAGCTGAAAAACAGCTCGATAGCATTCAAATATTCAAATATTTGTTGCCAAATATCTGGACATAATTCTTCAATTGCTGTCTTTGCTTCTATGAATAAATATATACTATATCACATTACTTACTAGTAGATTTGTTGTACTGTGTACAAATACGATATCGATCATTTCTTTTGACGAATCGAAAACATTTCATCTGTTGTTGATCCATTTCACGAAACAACGATAATAACTGAACAATAAAATACGTCGATTGGGAATTTGATGAAATTCTTTAAAAAAAAACAGCCTTTTCTTAAATAAATGCATTCGATACCTTAGATTTATTTGTAAAAAACTTCATTTATTTATTAACTAATCAAGAAACAAAAGATGAACAGTTTAATCTAACTAAAACATGGAAAATGAATGAAGATAATTGATTCAATAATACTGCATTGATCATCTAATGGATGTTTATTACAATTAATAAATAGGTGGTAACCTGCATATTCAGCCAGACTAACTATTCTATAACTAAAACACGAAATCCTACCACTATTGCTGTCTCAATCAGAATGAATGATTTGCACGAAATATTACTTATAATTTTTTTCAAAATACAAATGAGGTTTATCGTTCAAAAGTTGTTTGCTTGTGTTATATTTATTTGTAAAGACAGAACACACTGAAATCTAAGATTCTTCAATGTATTGAGCATGCTTTTTCTATTTTCAGATCGGATGTTCATCAAATAATATTATTAAAATTCAGTTTATCAACAAAATTACATTTTTTTAAAATCCACTTATCATCGCTTGGTAATAACACAAATGTATTATTATAATAGTTGTGAATTTATTACCGTCAAGTTCATGCGCGTTTCGCAAATCTGACTCACTCCTATTCAATAACATATCAATTTGGTGAAAGCATTTGGAGCTTACAATTGCATAATGTTACATGCAGTAGAACAAAAAATTTAACATACTGGTCATCTCCAAATATGAATTTAAAAATAACAAAAATAGAAAATACAATCTTGGGTCTGGATGTGGGGTGTGATTATTCTGAAGAAGTACCGAAAATATAATATTTATACTTGACTGCATTTAATCAATGTATCCCTGCCAATAAAAACAGTTGTTTCTCCATTCGACTAAAAGCAAAAAATTTTTCAAAATACTTGTTATTGTAGAAATTGAATCGAACTTATCAATATAACATATAGTATGTATCAATTTTGCTCCATTCTCTAGATTTGGTAAAAACATATCTGCGAAAAAGATAAATTTATTCAAATCGTAAAACATTTTCTTAAATTATTTGAAAATAAAAACTATTAATATCTATTAGAGATGTTATTCGAAACAAACTAATCAAAAACCTGACGTTTTTCATATAGTTGCCACATCAAATTTTATACGTTATAATCGTTATAAAATCATCGACGATTAATTCTTCGAGTAAGTTCATGATTTCAAAAGTTAAAATAGAAAGCGAAGCATCTCAACAAGCAATTATAGTAATTACATGGTCTATTTTATTCTGTATTCTATAGTTTATTATGACTTTTATACACATTTCAGCGTAAAACTTATACTTGTTAATAATTTACAAATTAATGCTCATTTTTGGCATAAGAATTCATTTCCTTTTGTAAAAGATAGATCACCCCCATAAAGATTAAGTTCTTCATTGTAACTTATTATCATATGGTCATTCAGCTGTCGAATGTCTTTTACAATTTAAATTAATAATATTTTCATCTAATAAACTTTTTACAGAAAAAATATGATCATCTAGTAAACAACTTTTGTATGAATCAATTACTCGATTGAATCTCAAAACGTCATACATGCCATGTATAAATATTCAATGAATCTAAGTTTAGTACGACCTAGGCAATAATCTTAAAAATTAAAAGATTTTTTTACATTGAAAACACTAGGAAATATTTTGATATTAATATACCATATATGAATAATGTAACGATTGCTCTTTTTGTACAATTAGTGTACAATAGTCAAAATAGTAATGTGTACTAATTATGATTGTTTTCAATGTGATCACAGTAAAAAAAGAAAGATAGACGAAGCTTTTGACGAAATCAAATTTTCAGAAAATACTGACAATGATGATATTATTGAATAGGAGATTATGTTGCAATATATACAACAAATTGGTTATAGATCGATTTTAAGGAGAGACCAGGTGATAGGCCATATCGCATTTTGATTCGCAGAAATTGAAAAGTTATATGAAGATATAATTTTCATGATTCCTTCGTTCGAACCTCATACAAAAATGGAAAATAAATCAGTCAACTTTGATTTAAACTGAAAAAAGAAACCATAACGAAATCGATTTCTATGTCTTTTTATTTAATTAACTATTCTAATAGCAACTATTTTTAATTCATTTGTCGTAAAATCGATTGAAAACAATAAATTAATTACAAAAAAAGCAAACAGAGGAAATAAGTAACAAAGAGCTGCTTTTCAACTGACTCTATCGATTTAATATAACGAGAGAAAATATTTTAAATTAAGGTTACGAATGATTTTCAGAATTTCTTTTCGCTCAGAGAACTCTAAATTAAAATTCAATTCATTTTATAACTATTTGACTTTTTCAAGACAATCAATTACAACCTTGTGTATATGTATTAATCTACCAATTGGTTTTTCTTTTTGAAAAACTAATCTCGAATAAACACATCCTTTTTTATTTGAGAAAAAAGCTCTTATGCAACAATTAAATTTCAAACAAATAATTTATATTCACATACCAACGATGAGTGGCAAAGATTCTCAAGACTTGATCGAATTTTGGTTATATCTACTTATTCGTACATTTGAATATATTACAGTGATATGAAAGCTCAGTTAAATTTGCAGTGCACAAATTAATTTAAAAAATAAACTCTTTTAGAAAAAAATTCATAATAGGAATAAAGCTCTATAAACAATGTGAGTAAATCTTAATATTCAATTTCTATGCCAATTAACCTATTTACAAATAAATAATTAATTGGTGTTTAATCGAAAAATTGAATCTAAAATTTCTCAAGAACCATGAGCTATAAACTATCAACTATACTTTGTAGAAAGCAAAATTTTATTTTCATTTCATTAATATTCATAAGCATTTATTATTTTAATATCATTATTACAAGATACATTTGCAGTAATATACTCTTGCTTTTAAAATCGTCCATATCAACCTTTCTGCTCGTGAAATTTTCAATTTAGTTTAGTTGTTTCAAAAAATGTAATATTTGTAAGTGTCTTACATATTTTATATTTTACTTTTTATCTGCGAATGCTGAATGGAAATTTATTGGTTATTTAAATCAAACCAATCATTCAGTGTCCTCATGTTCCCCTCACCTGCAAAGAATTTATAACGAAAATATTTGTTCAGTGAGAAAAAAAAATGTATAAAAATTTAGTTGAGATGGGTATTGTATTTTGTAGAAATGTAATAGGAGGTATCCTTTCAATAGAGACAAGAAAAGTTGTTCATTAATAATCTGATTTGATTATGTTTTGTAGTTTATCTGATGATATACATATGTTTATAGTTTCTATTGTATTCGTTAACAGTTATAAGGTTGTTACATGTATTATATTGGATTGAATATCTATTTTGAGAATTGTTTTTCAATATGTGAAATATGTAAAGTTTGAATGATTAAGTTAATCTCAATGATCAATAAATAAACTTTCCTCCTACAAAGGTATGGTTTTTCGATTTTTTTATCTTGGGAATACTGGGATATTAAAGGATTGTTTGAATTTCAACAATGAATACATAAATTTCTCTCCCCCCATACGTTATAGATTTTCGTTTTTCTAAACAAGTGAGGGGGAGGGAGCATGGGATATTAACTCTTTGTCTCAGTTTCAATAATCAATGAATAAGTTTTTCTTCTCTGTAGGATATAGATGTTCAATTTTTTATCGTGGGAATATGGAGACATCAAATAATTATTTAGATCTCATTAATCGAAAAGTATTTGGATTTTTCATGATCTCGAGCAGGATCGATAAAAAAAACTATTACATTTTATTCCAAATTGTAGATATACTGCTACAATCGTGATTCTTACGATGAATCTTACATATAAAACTTTTCATGTCTATTAAAACTGCTATTGTCTTCCATCGATGATGTATATCCTTATGTAAAAAAAATCAATATTCAACTCCTATGGTGTCAATAGTTTGACTAAACCAAATCTAGCATATTTTTGTAAAGAAAAATTTAAACTAGATCGCCACTGGAATCAAGTTCGAATAGAAAAGGTGGCTGACTGCATGTATACACAAAGACATGTGTATATAAATAAATAATAACACGAAAAATATATTAATGCTGTTCTTAGTCTTTCTTTTAGAGAACATTCAATGATTCTGAATATTGCGCCGGTTCTTATTTCGACTATAGAGTAATTAACAATTATATGAATGTAGTCGAACATTATTTGATAGTAAATGTCAACAATATATCCCTTTATAAGAACTTTATAGCTCTTTTTTTTTGTATCGTATATCTAAACCATGCAGGAAATTTTTTGAACGCTGGAGACTCTTTCATTGAAAAGCTTAAGTCATACAAGACGATAATAAAAGTGTATATGCATACAAGATCTAAGATATAAATGGTGTTTCCAAAACTGAGTCTTGTATGACTATATATAGAAACGATCAGCTGTTAATTATTGTTCCATACATTTTTATTGCTTCCAAACGCAGTCAAATTTCACAAAATCGAATTTCAAGTGTGCACTCGTCACATTCTCGCGATTTCTACACCTTTTTTCTTAACGTAAAATGATGTTTAGAGATGGAGAACGGGTAGCTGACTTAAATCGTGACTGATGCGTCGAGAAGAATAATAATAAGAATAATTTGTCATGATAACTAAGTGACTGAAAAGCAATAAGTTGACTAACGACACTTATTGCAGTCAATCATCTTAATTAAACAATGAACATTTATGTTGAACAAGTAGCCATAAAAAGTAATGAATAGTGACTTTAATAAGCAATCCACGAGTAATACTATTCTTGAATAATGCAGATGAAACTGCATGGATGCAATGAAATGATATGATCTTTTTTTGAACTCTACCTATAAATTTGAAATATAAGAAATTCATTGATTGTTTTATTTTCAATGAGGAGCATTCTGATTTTATACGATATAATAAGTTATGATTATTTGAATAATTCGGTTTTATACTACAAGGTTCTTTTTCTTTATAAAACTTTTCTTTTCATTATCTCTTTCTTTATACAGTTTCTTTTTCATTGTTTCGTGCATTTCAAGCTCAATTAAATTCTCATACGAACTGTGAAATACATTTACTCAAGATTGAAATTTAACTAATACTTCAATATTCCCATGTTCTGATCAAAAAAAAACAATGAAATTAATATATTTACTCATTGTAAATAAAATTTACTCATGAATGAAATTTCACCAGTCGTTGAATGTCCGTACGCGTCTTTCATGAAAAAAAATACAGCGAAAATATTTAATCAATATAGAAAGAAATTCTTAACACGTAAATAAAAAAAATCATTCAAGAAAGCTATTTAACCAACCACTCGATGCTCCCAATATTTTCATTAGAAAAAAACTACTGGTAGATTTTGACAAATAGCATAATAATCTTCACAGATCTTTGTCGTCAAATAAATTATAAAGAAACAATGTTTCGTATTTATAAGCCGAGTATGTTTCATTACAAAAAGTGAAAAATGTTATTCCAAACTCATCTGTCACAAATATACGTACGCAAATAAAATTAAGATGACTCGCGATAATAAATCTCGATAGATGACAGCGTCAGATTTAATATTCTACCTTTTTGTTTCATCAAATGAAAAAATAGAATAAGAATCTTATTGAATTATTATTTCGATTAAACAAAAGATATTCGATGAAAACCTTCCTTCAAATATCCCATTTTGTTGATCATTTGTGTAAATCATTGTTCAGCTAATCGTTTCATAACATATTTTTATTTTTATTTTCTCGTTTATGTTTCACTTTTTGAAGTTTGTTAAGTTTATTGTCAATATTTATCCCATAGAGTCAATACGTCGACTACTATTATTGAGTATCTCTAATCTAGAATTATTTTCAATAATTAATAATAATAATGCTATTTCTAGGACTTTTAGTAACGCATATGTAAATATGTTCAACGCAAAAAATCACGATTAAGTGAAAATTTAACCACTACAACACTACAATTGTACACTACGAGAAACGAAGTTTTGTTTATAGATCATTTTGTATTTTATTGAACCATAACGATAATTATTGAGGATATTTTTTCTCGAACTCAATTGCCATCGCAAGTAATTCCTCATCTGATATTTCAGGTATCATTTGAACGCTTGTACGAACACTACTAGCCATAATAGCTGCACTAACGAATTTTGGTTGATCAAAAGATTTTGGAACAGTACTCGAAATTTTATTTTCGTGTGAGTGATGAGCAACCATAACCTTTTTGGCTTCACCTCCAAGTTCATCAGATGCAGTTGTTTTTACTACACGTTCGCTTGTTGTTGGATTTATCTGATATTTCGTTGGTAGACATACTAGTTTATCAGATAGTGCATTCTTACCTTATCATCCGCTGTAATTGTTGACAGTTCTGAGAAAATATTCATGTTTAGTGTTGAATCTATTGTGCAAAAGAGATAAGATAATATAGTTTAAGGAAATTAATCTAGTACAATACATACTTGACGATTGAGACATGTTAAGAATAAGTTGAGTTGAGTAGTAAGCGTGCGTGTATATGTATTATAGAAATCTACAATAAACAAATAGAGTTATTTAACTCTAATAATGACTTAGATTATAAGAATATATTTATTTGATTATACAGATATTGGTGTGATTACTGTTAGTTATATAATCAATGAGAATTGTATTGGAAAGTCAAAATCAAAAAAAAACTGAATGACTTTATTAAATCTGATTTAGTGTTATATAAATATTAATCAATTTCACAATACAAACGCAATCATGATTTAAATATGCAAGAGAGATTATCTGAAAATGGTTCGATCTTCCCTGGTCGTATATCTATGGCTAAATGGAGGTATTTTTGTAACTATTATCAATAAAAAAAACACGACGTGACACAAAGAACTTAATCGATATTAAAAATCTATTTTTTATAAGTTTTATTTATATTGTAATAGTTGTGGACAAACGAATGACATGAATTTTTCCTGAAGTCGAAAAGTGTCGACATTATGTGCGGAAACTCGATAAAATTCTTTTGTAGCAATTTGAATGTCACCGTCATCATTAATATACTGATGATGTTCAACGCGATATAGCGGAGTTTCTTCCTGTGCCATCATTAATTCAAAATCTCCATCGAAATTAATAGGTACTAAAAGATCAAAACCTCTGTTACAATATTTAGCTATACGTGTTCATAAATGCTTTGGACTTTCAGCATGAAGAGAATAAACAATAAATGATCTTGTTGCAAGAGCTTGCAAGAATGAAAATGTTGAAATAATTTTATTTCCTAAACAGCTCATACATGAAGATTATAACCAACACTTCTGTAAAAGAAAGGGCAAATTACCGGTAAATACTACTTGGCAAATATCCATGTCAAAATTATGGAGAATATGCGAAAGTGGTTGTTTTGCATTTCCTGTAGATATTGAGGAGAAGCTAAGTCGAACATTACAGGGTAAAAATACATTGTAGGTAGACACTCCTGGGACTTTTTCCATTGTTATCGCGTGCGTTAAATCAAAAGAAATTATTTTCTTTAGAATATTGACAGTACTGTGTACTATTGTTTCGAAATCTGATGTATCCTCTGCATAATAGAGAAGATTAACATCTTGCTGTTTAGTATCAGAAAATGGTGAGCGACACATGGCATTAAGTACACATCCTCCAGCAATGGCCAACTTAGAAAAATCAATTGCTTCCAGCCATAAAGCTGATGAAAAACGAGTCGCCAAATTTTGTTTAAACTCATCGATAGTAAACACAAATGTCAAATTCGTGCGGCAGTTTCGATCTTCTGTCGAAGGAAAGTTCATGTTAACTAGAATTAGTTGCATGCATATATTTTATATGTCACATAGTTCATTCTAGATATTTTACCTTTAAACAGTTTTTTCTCATACTCATTTAATACTCGTTCCAAGCCGACTGTATGACAGTACCACTCGTAATCAAGCAATCAGAAATCCGCATAATACCAGACAGTGTTCAACGGTAAAAGTCGACAATAGCATTTAAAAAGAGAAGTCTGATACACTTCACGCAACTTCGAAAAACCTTCAAGACCAAAGCATGGATGAATATATAAACGTTCAGACGGCTGAATAACAGAAGAATAACGTGTTGAGCCTACAACAAGGCGTTCATCATCAATTTCACTTTCGCCCATGAAACATTCGAATGAAGCACGGGGGAGTAAAATTCTCTGATAATCACAGAATAAACTGATCAATCTAATAAAATGATGATCGAGTGTTTTTGCAATTGACCCAAATTGTTTGGTACTATCTACTGCTTCAATAAAATTGGTCGCATCTATTCCATTAAGAAATTTTAATAGATGACATCCAACAACTTCATTCAGTTCAACAACTGTGTTTTTCGACATAATCAATCAATATTTAATCAATATTAAAGCTAGAATAAATGATATATCTAAAAATGTTTCAAAAATAAATAGTTGTTATCAAATTAATCGATAATGATGCATTTCTCTGATCAATCATGATAGTAGTTCGTTTCGTTTCTTTTTCGCTTTCATATGTTGCGTTTCATTCTTGTTTTTTCTTTTTACCGCTTCTTTCGTGTCGGTCATCTTTTTTTTCTTTTCGTTGATACAGTGAATGAATCACAGACGAGCAAGTTAGCTCATCAAAGAATTGAACATAGTTCATAATATGTAGACATTTTTTCAATGGGTATAGAGAACAAATTGTGCTTGAAAAAGAAGAATTAAAAAATTCGGTCTAAAACCCAGTGAGAATTACCAATTTAAGAAAAAACTATAAGTATTTCATCACAGCGTTTTATTACCAAACAATAACGTTTCCACTGTTGCACTCTTTATGTCAGATAGGTTTTAAGTCTCTCATTTAGAGTTCATAATACCACAAGTTATGGAATGCTCTGCCATTGCAAATCAGCTAATTCAAATAATTTATTGTCTTTTTATTTATATACATTCATATGCACTGCAATTTTTAATATAAACAATTTTTAATATGAATCTACAATACATTATACATAAATACGTATATTCTTTGTGTCTAATAATCTGTTATACCTTCTTTTAAATACTGAACGATTTCAGAAATATCAGTAAGGCATTTTGTAAGAACAACATCACAACTTTCGTCTTGATCTTCGGAATCAGATGATTTGTTGTTTTCTTCACCTTGAGATGTTGCATTTGAAATCGGTGAAAAAAAAGTTGTATAAAGATTTGGATCTTTATGCAAGATGTTTTTGTCCATTTCAAAATCAAAACCAAACTCATCTGTAATATCAATCACTTTGTTTTTAACACCCATTACTTCGTCTGTAATATCAATCACTTCGTCGGTAATATCAATCATTTTGTTTTTAACAGCCATTACTTCGTCTGTAATGTCAATCACTTCGTCTTTAACATCACTCACATCTTTCTTAATTTTAATCTTCTCTTTTTTCATATCATTTGTTAGTAACAGATTGTGCTGATCACAATGAACACATGGAAAATTGCATCCATTATTTTGTTCATGACCAACAGAAAATTGAATGGTGGTGGTGGTTGTTGCTATCATGGGTAATGTAATGGATATTGATGTATTCATCTATAATTAAAGGTATGTTGTAGTGAATAAAAAAAAATTTTGATGCTAATACTTGATGATCATTATTGATTATAATAGTTGTCGACATCATGAAAATTAGATTTTATCGATAATTTAGGTATGCTGTTTGTAAATATCTAGAATTTTTAAATAAACGATCTACACAAAAGAAGAAGCTAATGATTTAAGGAAGAACAACGGTTCATCAACAGCACAGGTAGGAAGAAAAAAATGTGTAGTTATTATTGACAAACAATAATGATTAATAATTTAATCAAGCAAGAAATAATATTAGTTGTACATATTAAATATACATAAACAAAATATTCTAACCAAAAAAAATATCTAAAAGTTTTTGTACACAGTAATCAGTTTTAACTAAAAACTGGTTATTCATCTGCTACCACATGTTCAACTTTGCAATCCGCTCATGTACTATTATAAGAACAAGCGGGCATATAATTTAGAAACGGACATGAAAAATAAAGAAAACATACTCTCATGTATTTTTATATTTTGTGCCATTATTTGTTCAGCAAGGCGGCGAATGAATGCTTTAAAAAATTCCTACATGAATAGATATAACGTTTAACGTTTATTCAAAGGCTGCTTTCATACCACATTTTCAAAATTAACCAAACGACTTCTAAATGTGTAGCGACAGATATCAATAATCTGTTGTGGTGGAAATGGCCGAAATGAAGATTTTGAATTAATAGGGTTAGATGGATAATACCTAACAAGTGATATTTCTTTTATTGATTTTGCTACTCGAAGAGCAGCGTATGTTTCCTCCTCTTTTCGAAAGAAAAGGTAGAAAATTGCTTTCCCATTCTTTGATGGAACGCGACGATACTTATAATACTTCAATTGTTGATGAAATCTACCGCTCATATCATTGCTAGTTATTTCATCATCAGTGCGATTGTTCAAGACTAATCTACATTCCATATCTTAATGTACTGAAATCAAATTCGAGTAAAATTATCAACTTAAATATAGGTGAAAGAAGAAAAAAATCACGTTTTAATCAATATTTTTCTACTTTAAGAAAAAATGCATTATAACTCAGCTTTTATTTAAACAAATTGATATGACATTTTCTTTTAGTATTATTGAAAAAAACTCTCATTCACATGAGTATCGTGAAACGAGGTGTGTCGAAACACTCTCATCACCGAATATTAACTATGAATTAACAATGAGATCAAAACTTATCTATAATTTTATAAATTTTGGATAAGTCTCATCATACTCAGATTCCGCTCTATACATCACAAAAAAAAACATTTTCTTAACAGAAATGAACATCCATTCATATCTTCTTTTGATATATGTCATTAATTGACTGTTGACTGACAGCTACGCTTAATAGATAATTATGAGATAAAAAAAAGAATAAAGAAAATATAGAAACGGTAGCTAGTTGGTTTTAAATATAAAAGTAAAAAGAATGTTTCATGAAAAAGTGCCGAAAAGGCTCGGTGTCCACAATGGATCGGTTTGCATATTATTCAAGATTATACATACGTATACGAATGTATGCTGCTTACTATAGATTACAAATATGACCAGTTAGTAAGATCTCAAATAAAAAACGAAGTAATACAATGTCAATCCCTATTAGAAAGCAATAAAGCGTCTTGGTAATACTGATGGTTGAGTTGAGAGATTAATGTAGCACATAGAGATGATGCGAAATTAGTTTCCCGAATGAAATGGTGAATATTGTTGTATTCGGTCTCTATTTATAGTTGAACATGAGCCTATCATTATTACCGATTTTTCTCAAATGCTATTGGATACTATTTTTCAAATTTTATTTTTAACGAATAATTGATTAGTTCTGCAATTCTTTTTATCTATCTTTATGTTTGGAGATCATTATCTATATAAATGTTTTTATATTTAGATTTAACATCCATAAATCAAGTTTTATGACACTTTCTATTTGACGTAATATTAATTGTTTTTTATGTTTACATTCAACTCGAAATCGAATTTCCTTCTAAATTTCATTTGACGTAATCTACTACAATTGTTTTTTATGTTTACATTCAATTCAAAATTGAGTTTTATGGTACCATCTCCTTAAATAAATAAATCAACGAATTGGTTTTTATATTTATCTTCGTGTAGAGGCTTTATTCAACCTTTTATTTGAATAATGACTCACTGTTTCTTAGTGAAATCAATGATAGCTAGTTGAAACTACGATTGGATATTCACTACGGTGTAGGGTGCCATTATTGTCACGTTTCGCATCATTTGGAAGCATCTTGCTGTTTTTTACTCTTGCGTGTGAGAAGCACTACTAAGATTTTGGTGAGCTCGAAAACCGTTAATCAGTTTCAAATAGTAAGTAAAGTGGAAACTCTTTTAGAGTTTTCGAGATTATCCTTATTTTAGAGTGTGAAAAAACCGCATTCTGAATGCTCGACTATCTTGTCCTTTGATTTTGATAACACAAGTCAACAAAATTTCTATTGTGCAGATTCATTTTTCAAAAAAGAAATTTATCAATAAAAATAAATCAAGCTCTTCTGTCAATTTCTTTTCCTTCTCGTCTTTTGGAACGTTAAGCGTTGTTTTATCTGATAGAATCAGATTTTTCGATTAATATTTGTTGTGTTATTATTCGTTGGATAGAATTTTCTTGTTGTGCATCAATCTGATCTATTTGAGTGTTCAGTAAATTAGTCTATCTTGAATACATATTGAAACGGCATTAGAGAATCATTCTATTTGGAAAAATGATTTTGTGTACCTTTAAGAAGAAACCATACGATCTTGTTTAATATGTGAACGGAGATTTTGATGTTCGCCTTGCTAATAAACAACTGTGCATTTAAATTGTGGTTGAAGAGCAGTAAAATGTAGATAAGAAAATAATGAGTATAAGACTGCTACGAAGAACATTACTTGATTTTTAACAAA